TGGAGGGGGGCCAGCGCAGAGCGACAGGGCTGGGGAAGGGCCTGGAGCAGCTCTCGTGTGAGGAGAGCCCGAGCGAGCGGGRCCTGTTGAGCCCGGAGAAGAGAAGGGTGAGAGGGGAGCTGGTCAGCGTGTCCAAGGAGCCGAGGGGAGGATGGAGGGAGGAGGGGGCCAAGCTCTTCTCAGTGGTGGACAGTGCCAGGACAAGGGGCAGTGGGTGCCAGGGCTGCACGGCGGGGCAGGGCCCATCCCGTCCCATCCCACAGCTCCGYGAGCTCCTCGTGCCGCCTCGCGCCCCGGGGGCCACGCAGCGCCGCACACCTGCCCCACACCACGCACCCCGGAGACATGGCCGCTCACCTGCTGACGGGAGGCCACAACAGCCCCACCGACCCCGCGCCCCCACTGCCAACCACCAGCTCGTAGCAGCCAGGACCGAAAACAGCAGCTTTTCAGGCAAAAACCCTGCCCTTTGATGTCAGCACAGTATTTAACATGAACTCCTGCTGGTGCAGTCGCATAGGCCTTCGCTGCCCACAACAGGTCCAGGGGCAGCTGTTGAGCAGGGGACACGCTACAGGACCGTCCCAGTCTGCACGTGGGGCAGTCAGTCCCTCCTAGGGACACGGGCTCACCAAGCCCAGCACAGTCACAGCAGCATGAAAAGGCCCCAAAAGAGGATTCCGCAGCAGCGGACACCAGTTCCCTACAATTGCATTTGGGATCCGCGTAGCTGCCGCAGACAACAGGCACGAAGCCCAGGGCCTAGCAGGCATTTCAGCTTGAATACCTGCCGCTGGCAGGAGCGTGAACACGAGTCCTGCACGTTTTGCTGCAAGCTCTCTCTGTTGGGAAGCTCCTGCTCCTCAGACGCAGCCTAAGCGCAGCAGGAGGAGGGTTCACACAGCCAGACGAGCAGCCAGACGTGCAGCCACGGGCGGTGGAGCCGAGGCCGCGGCCGCGCAGCCTCCTTTCTCGCTCCCACCCACAACACTCAACCACGGCACAACTACAGGAGAGGTGCCCCGAGCTCTGGGACAGACAGATGCTCAATCCYGTACCTACTACAACAGCACCTTGGCGGTGGAGTTTCTCAGCAGCGCTCGGTTTCGGCAGAGCACTCGGAGCCTCGCAGCGTTCCCCCACYCCACACTGCTCCGAGCGCAACGCACACACGGTGGCCTCAGGCCCGGGGATCCGGGAGCCACCGCATGTGGACGGGGCTGACAGCACCGAGCCGTGACCAGGTCACCCGCTGCCTCTCAGCTGCGCTTCACCATCCCGCTCACTCCAAGGCGCTCCGAACCGAGGGGGTTCTGCCCTTTCGTCCCACTGCAAGG